AGCAAAATGCAAGGACACTGCAACCACATACTGCCCAGCTGATTTCCATCGCCATAACTTTCACCTACTCTGACATGACCCTACTGAAGCCAAAGTTCAAAGTTCAAACCCAGAGCAGGTTTTTCTTTATAGCATCCTTCTTGATGCACAGGAATAGGAAGTGAGTGGATGGTGAATAAACGCCTTCTCTGGCTACCAAACTACGCCATAAAGCAGGCTGATTTGTGAGTGGAGACTGGAATGCAGCAGAATGGTTAGGCTCATGATTCTAAACAGAGGAGAATGGCTCTGGTGTTGGCAAACCATTAGATATCACTTGACTGATCAGAAAAGCTACAACTTCTTCCAGTGAAAACCATCTGCCTTTACAGAAACACCTGCTTTTGAGCCATCAAGATTTGTCTCCTGCTGCATAACTTAATCTTGCATTTTACAAGCCGTCTTGTTTCACTGCAAATGCGAATGCTCACAGACAGCTGGCAGCTAATGTCTCCGGTACATCCACCCATCTACCTCTAATTGCTGGTTTTCACCCCCTCATACGTGTTTCTTGTCACCTCAGAGTAGTTATCACATAACAGCAGACTTGTTCAGTTACAAATGGCTGTGGAGAGCCTGGGGGCCCCTCACTCTTGACCTTACCCTAATCTCAAATTGTTCACAAGTTTCATGACCTTTGGGACAATCAGCCACTCTGTGTTCTACTCCTGACGCTTAAGATTCAGAGTCACGTTTTTCAAGGCTTTCTCATGTCCCCCAAACAGAAAGTGTCAATTAGAAATTCTCATTCCATTTTGTATTTCCAAAGCTCTTAAAATCCAGCAGAATAAAAGCAGCCTGAAGGGTGCTACCCACAGAGACATTTGATTTCTTCAAATTCTCCTAAGACCATGCATCCCATGCAAGACCCTTAGTCCACTGAAGACATACACTTCAAGGCTTGGGAGATGGCTTGGTGGTTAAAGCACTGGCTGCTCTTCCAGAGGACTTAGGTTTGATTCCCAGCACCCACATGCAGTTCAAAACCATCTGTAACCCTAGTTCCAGAAGATCCAATGCTCTTTTCTGGCCTCCATGGGTACCAGGCATGCATGTGGTGCAAAGACATACATGCACAGAAAACACTCATATATTAAAAAATTTTAAATTAATGCTACATGTCCCAACTCACAATACTTTAACCACATTTCTTTCTCAGTCAGGTATTTGGCATTTGAGTCCATGGTCTTATAGGGGAGAAAAAGCATTTGATTTAAACAGATCTTCAGGCTTCATAGTGTTTAAAAAAAAAAAGTCTATTTCACACACATTGTCTTCTAAATCCTGTGACAATTACAAGCACACTGTTTTTACTGCAACCGCCATATCTTAATCCCACTGTTACAGGAACAGCATCCTGGGCATAAGGGGAGCTGTCAACTGCCAAGAAGTACCCTACTGTGGAGATGAGGGTGTAGCACTTGCCAGCTCAAAGATTCCTGCCCTTCCAAATAAGTGCTCCTATGCACAAGGGTATATGGTGGTGAGTTCTTCCTGATTTCAATTCTGCCAATTTACATATTCAATGAGATTCTATAAGTTCCTACAAAATATATGATGCTAGAGGGTCAACAGTGAACAGACCCAACACCATACCCCCAGATATGATCCAGACTCAGTGGGAGTGGCAGACTCTCCAGAACCATGTTGCCAGGCAACACCTAGACATGAGTACCAGTAAGATGCAGGAGGCTGTCTTTTAGTAGGTCCCCCAGTATGGTACAGTCTAACAGGCATCATCTAACCTCTTGACATTGCACTGATACATACAAACTCAATGGACCACACTCAGCTATCCTGGGACACACACAGCCTACTGGAGATGTACTGGAGTGAGGACACATGCTGGACTTGTTTGTCACATTCTAAACTAACAGGAACTACTTATGATACTGGTGTTTACTGGTAGAGCCCTCTGCCCTCTCCTTTATCTGTTTCAAACTGAAACCTGATGAGACAGTTTGGGAGAGCTGTGAGAAAGCTTCTTTCCCAAAAGCTCTGAGAGGTCAACAGGCTATGACAGCAACGAATTGGCTTGGGATAGGTGAGCAACACAGGTGGCTCAGAGCCTGAGCTGCCCTGACAGCTACTTGAATGGGCACATTTGTTTTTGTCTGCTGTTTCTCAATGTCACACCCTTCAAAGTGATCTAGAGAAGAAATGCATTTTCTGTTGAGAAACTGCAGCCTAGGGAGGTGGACAGAGGAGTCTGTGGCCTAGCAGGTGGCAGCTGAGAGAGAGGTGGGGACCCAAATATCATAATGAATGACATCACATCTTTCCCGCAAAATCCAGGTGCCTCTCCAATGCCAACTCTCCAGTGCCCCTCTCTTTCCACTGGGCAGGCCCCAAACCAGCTAGCTCAACTAGGAAGACTTCACCCAAGATCAAGGACTTCACCATGTGACATGCATACACTTCCAGGACATAACAGTCAGCACCCTTTGATGCTCAGCCACTGAAGGCTACACAGATGAAACACGTGCATTTGCACATGTGTACACATACACACACACACACACACACACACACACACACACACCTTCGAAGAACAAGTAAGTCCATAGTCTGGAATAGTCTAGAAAGCCACAGGCACGGTATTGACTTCCACTAAAAGCCTGATGCACACACAAAACAGAAATGCTCTCAAGGGAGAAGCAAGCTCTATTAAACAGGATGGGATTCTCTCAGGAAGCTCCTACTGAAAACCCAGCATAGATGTGCTGTAAACTTGCACCCCTGGACTTGATGACCAACAACCAAAACAAAAACAGAAACCTCACAAAACCCCAAAACAATAACAAAAACCCTCTTATCACCAAGTTGGTGATTTAAATTCTGTGCCTAATTTTCTCTAAGCCCCTGGCCCTAGATGATCTGGCTTATTCTGTACATTAAAAATGTTAAAGCCACAGACAGCAAATGTTTGTCCCATACACAGATACTATAGCTTATTTATTTGTTTGCTTATTTACTTTTGAGTCAGAGTCTCTCTGTGTAGCCCTGGTTAGTCTGAAACTCACCATGTAGACCAGGCCCTGGAGCTTACAGAGGTCTGTCTGCCAATGCCTCCCATGTGCTGGAATTACAGGTGTGTACCACTACTCCCAGTGAAACTATATCTTTTAAAACAGTGCCCATCATGCTGCCAAAACCAAAAAAAAAAAGAGACCCTCTCCCTTTTGCCACCAAAAGTAGAAATTCAACAGGCCACAGCTTTAGCAGCAATGTCACAAAGTTAGGACAAACATCAGTCACCAAGGACATCACCATCCAACACAGAGGCTACATGAGCAAACAGGGGGAAGGTGATTCATCATAGTTAAAATGCATTTATGTCAAAAGAAACATTTCAATCGATGTCTAATAAAATATTTTCAAACAATATTGTTAAACCACAAATAATCATAACATTTTTTTTAAAAAAATGCACAGGGGTCTCTATGCACATTCCAGTTTCTTTATCTTTTAACCTTTACAATGATAGTTACACGTTTCTTTTTTTGTTTATCTGCTTGTTAACGTTGTTGTTATTGTTGGCTCATTTTATTTTTTAAAGAGAGGGTCTTACTGTGCAGCACTGGTTGGTCTGAAAGTCTGTGTGTAGCTCAAGCTGGTCTTGATCTTACAGAAATCCTCCTGCCTTTACCTCTTGAGTACAGGGATTAAAGAAATGTGTCACCATGTCTGACTTTGTTTTTGAGACAAGGTTCCGTGTAGCCCAGGCTAGCCTTGAACTTACCATAAACTTTTAATTCTCCTGCCTCTAGCTCCTCAATGCTGGGGTTGCAAGCATGTACCACCACATCTGCTTATGTGATACTAAGGATCAGAACAAGAGTCTTGTGCATGCTAGGCAAGCACTACATCAACTGAGCTACAGCTACAGAGGCCATGTTCCTTATATTCCAAATGAAAATCAGTTTCATTAGCAAGTCCATGGCCATCTTGTTCATGAACAACACAGTAGCCCCCATCAGCTACACAGGAAGCATGAATCAAATGAATGAATTATACACACACACACACACACACACACACACACACACTGGCTAAATACTGTATCTAAATCTAGTGAGACATTATACAGACACTTTAAATGAAACAAAAATACATTTTATTCACATGAAAGTATTTTTTCCTCAACCCAACAGTTAATAAAGCAAATTATAAAAAGGCTATGTATAAGAAAGATGTTTTCTCTCATTCTCTTTCCACCCTTTAAACACACACACACACACACACACACACACACACACACACACACACTTACTTTTTAGGTCTCTGTTTATAGGCTTGACAAACATTAAGTTAAAAAGAATGACTTTAGCTTTCAGTATATAGGAGACCAAGGCAGGAATATAAAGAATTCAAGGGTAGCCTCTGCTACATAGCTAGACCCAGGCACACATAGACTACATAGCAGGATCCTGCCCTTACTAACAAAACTGTGACTCTGGAGTGTTTCCATAGGTGTTTAAGATGTGGGAAAAGAAACACTTTGCTTTCTACTGTCATTTCATTTATCACCTAGCCCATTGTCTCTGGATTTTTATATGCCTGATAAGAAATGCTCATCTACTGTTTCTTGGGGCCATCCCTGCCATGCCTGATGATGAGAGACTTACCTACCACGTAGTCAAATTTATCTCAAAACAGCTAGAAGACAGCAGGCCAGTCTTACTAGTCAGTTTATAACCAGTCAGTAAGACATTCCTAAAGCAATACCCCCTCCTTTTAAATAGCACCAAAACAGCCTTCCATAAAGAAATGACATTGCCAGGAAACAGAGCCACTCAGAAACGAAACATGGTTTTATCCAGTTGCCTGGCTTTCCAAGCTCCGAAAATGCATTACTATTATACCACAAAACAACCTACCCGAACCCCTGCTAGTCTGAAGTACAACCAAAAGCAGCATTTACAACATTCCAGTCTGGAAGCTCCATGAACCCTCTTTACCTGTGATGACAACGTCTTGTTCCTGAGCTTGACTTGATGCAAAAGTCAGTTCCACAGAGAAGATGGGGCCTTGAACTCCAGCCTTGGCTGTAGAACGTTAAGGAAGGAATCAGTTACGATATGTTCTCTGGATGCCCCCCAACTCTCCACCACCTTGGGAAAGTCACTGTGACCCTGCCGCCTGCAAGCACTACAGTGTTCCAGGGTCGCCAAGAAAGTTCTGAGTTCCTCCCACAAGAAGTGCCTGGAGAGGAGGGGCTGTGCTGTTCTGGTTTCCTTAGGAGAAGGGAGTGGGCTGGGGTTGTGGTAGGCAGTAGGCGAGCAACCCCAATAGTGCCCCTCAAAGACTAAGTAAAACATTATCACCCCATAGGTTTCTTAGAAAGGATCTTAACTTCAGAGAAACACCTGCTTTCCTAAAAAAAAAAAAAAAAAAAAAAAAAAAAAGGTTCAGAAAAAGGAAGGAGGGGTGCAGTTGTTCCAGGCTCCTTGGAGTGGGCACTGGGGCAGAGTCACGCTTCCAATTAGCACATTGGCACTCCCTGCTCCCCTCACCCCAAGCAGGCTGGCCACACAGCCAAGAGGTGCAAAGGAGATTTAAGTTGTCCCACCCAGGACCGCTGTGGTACTGGACTCTGAAGAGGCAGAGACAGGGTGGCTTTGGCAGTCTCTAACCTACTGTTCGGGCCTGCCCCACATCTCCCTACTACAGTCAGGCAAAATGTGGGAACTGGTGCTCAAAGAGGGTCGGCTGCTGGTGACACGAACCCACAGACGTTTTCTCCAGATCCACAGGAGTGGCCGGGCTCAGTGATCCCAGTATCAGTCTGTCCGGTCCTCAGGTTACCTCGCCTCTGAGATCCCTGAGGGTCTCAGGAAACACCCCCCCGGTGGGTGACGCCCAAAAGAACCGCGTCGTGGGAAGGGCGCGCCCCGATGTCCCCGCCCGTGGGCCCTCCCCTCCAGGGGACAACCAGAGGACCCAGCGTCGCTCCAATTCAAGGACTCCGCAAAGCCCCCAGCCCCACTGCCAGCTGCGAACACCAAAGTTCACAGCCGGCGCTCGGCGCTTGCGAGGATTCGAAGTAGCGGACAGTCCCGCGGGCCCTTAGAGTCACACGCTTTCCCAGCCTGTGCCCTCTGCGGTGCCTATGGGTCTCCAGACCCGCGCCCCTGGTTCGCGCGCATGCGCCTCCGAGCCCCTCCTCTCTCTGTCCACCCACTTCACTGTCCCGGGACAGGGGACGCCTGGCTCCCGCCCCCGCGCGTGCCCTCCCGCCCCCGGGCACCTGAGGCTGCGCTCCGCCTGCGGGTCCGCAGGGCCAGCGCTCCCGGGGAGGCGGCGCCAGACGGGGCGCAAGAGACTGCCTCCGCCCCCGTCACCCCTGTCGTGGGGCCGCCGTGTCCCGGGCCCGGTTGGGCACCGCCTCTGTGCACCCGTGCCAGCCGCACCCCCACGACACGCGCCGCCCCTCGGACGTCCCCTGCGGGGTCCCACGGCGAGGTGACCGCCCCGGAAACTCCGCCCCCTAGGCCTGAGCTGCAGCTCAGGACGACACACCCCCCAGACGAAAGCGCCTGATTGGCTTTTGCGGGGCGGGGCGGGGCCGAAGAGGCCCGGGGCAGCTCTCCCTGGCTCCCATTTAGTGCCTGGGGGCCCAGGCATCCATTGGTAAACTGAGGCTGGCTAGGTGTATAGCCTGCCCAATGTCACCCGACGGGCGAAAAAGCCCTGAGGAAAGGGTACACCCCGACGCGCGCACGCTCCAGCTCCCAGCCCCGCGCACCAGCGGGGATTGAAGTTCAAGGCTGCGGGTTGGGTACAGCTCCCCACCGAGTGTTCTGGGTGACCTGGCCTAGATCGCTGAGCGCACCCCGAGAGTCCCAGGGGTTCGTGGGGGTGGCGGGCAGGAGGGATCTGATCTTCAGGGCACCAGGATGCGCAATGGGGAGAAAGGAAAAGCGAGCAGGGGCACGCGGCAACAGGTGGCGGAGGTGCCAGTGTGGGTGTGGAGGGCAGGGAACTAGGAGGGTGAAGGGCATTGGGGACGGTCGCGGGGAGGTGCCGCCACTCCGACCCTCCGCTCCCGCCCAGCCCCGGGCTGTGGCCCCTCTGCATACGCTAGAGGATTGAGAGTTTGATTCTACCCAGATGAGGCACTGGGGTTCTGCCAACTGCCCGCACCGGGGGAGGGGGGGCGGGCGGTCCAGTGCAGCCGCTTTGTGTCGCCCCTGGATCTCTGCTCACGAATGCACACTGCCCCCGGGGTGCCAACGTATCAAGATGCCACTCCTTTGGGAACGAAATGTGTGCTATGCCAGCCCTTCTCTGTGTCCTCACGCTCTGCCTGCCACTATGCTATTTGTGGCAATGAGCGCCAGGGAGAACCTACTGACAAAGGAAATTTAAGCGCACATCTTTGGGAATTGGGGGCCTGACCAAAGTGGCACATTCAGGAACTTCTTTTAAACCCACCCTTTCTGATTAGCCTCATACCTGTGGTGAACTTTGCTCCACCCTCCAGACACCCACAGAACATTCTCTACTTGTCTATTGGCAAGCCCTCCTTTTCTTGCTCACACTGGCCAGGAAATAGCTACTATTTGTATAATGCTTCAAAGCTTTCAAAATTGGGCCCCTGGAGATGGCTGAGTGGATAAGGGTGTTTGCCACCAACCCTGTTGGCTTGAATTTGAACCTGGGTACCCACATGGTGGAAAGAAACCAACTCCTGAAAGTTTTCCTCTAACCTCCACATGTGTGGGCACGTGTTCTCTCTCTCCCTCCACTCCTCTCTCTCTCTTTCTCTCTCCTTCTCTCTCTCTCTCTCTCTCTCTCTCTCTCTCTCTCTCTCACACACACACACACACACACACACCCCAACCTGCCACATACAATAAATAAATGGAAAATATTTTTTTTAAAAAAAACTTGCAAAGTGACCTGTCTATATTATGATTATGGTTTCCTGAATGACCCAGGGGGCAGGCAGGGACAGCATTAAGCCATTGTCCTACCAGTGGCAGCATTATGCTAGGCAGCATGTTTATAACAGTAGGCAAAGATGGTGGGAGGCTGCTCACAGGGCTGCCTCTCTGAAGGGCATCCTTCCTAGTAGTGTACCAGGTGGCTGGGTGGCCACTGGAAAGATCTTAGTTACCTGGTGTATAGCAGGTCCCAAGCTTCAAGGACCAGAGTCCACATGCAAGGGGGCATTGCCTCTTTTTCTTTTTTCTTTCAGAATGGTTAGGAATGAGAACTAAGGAAGTGTGAGGAACCAGCAGAGTTGCTGTGAACACAAACAATAGTTGGGGTTCTTGGAACTTCCAAGGTTTTAAAGGGAAATAAAACGCCTTTTGTTTGTTTGTTTGTTTTGTTGGGTTTTTTTCCCTACATGTCCAGAGGAATCACCTTTAGACAATGGCTTCTATCCAGCCTCCCTTAGACATCTTGAAAATCTCTTCTTCAAATGGCCCTCTGTCACTTACCCCAGAGGACAATGAATTTTGTTTGGGAGACTGCTTTCAGAGGAGAGAGATGCAAGGGCTTGTCCTACACCCACCATGAGAGAAGCTGTCTCAGAGGGTGCATATCTGGCTCCGGATGCATCTGCATTTTTTTCTCCTTGCTTCATAAGGTGTTCATGGGTGTGGATACACATAGAGCAGAGGTACTGCCTATGCAAGGCTCAGTAGATCACTGTAGTTCTGGAGACTAATCAATGCTCTTGTGTCCCCTAGTTGTCAGGTTGGTAACCCTGCTGGGAGTTTCTGGGCATGCATCTTAGTTCACTCTGGGGTGTCCTTTGAGATCGTACAATGATGTGATCTGCAAATGTGTTGGGCCACATTTATAGCTATCCTGGGACATATGTGGCCCACAGGCTGCAGATTAGACACACTTGTCTCTTGCACGTTCACATTTCCTGACCAGCTGCAGGCCCAGGAGAGAAAGCCAGTCTGTGACATTCCTGCTGCATACACTCACCTAAAGATGGATGGAAGCTTACCTGTGGGGAGTTTCCTGCAGTGAACATACAGACAGTAGGTTAGAGCCCAGTGCAGGGAGCATAGGAGTCCCACTACCTGCCCTGCCCCAGCAATTGGAGATTCTCCCATGGGTCTGGGGTCTAGGCCCATCTGTGTTTACCTTAAAGCTTATGTAAGTTCTTTCCAGAAACCACCCAAGGCCTCTGAGGGTCACTGGCTTGCCCTCTGCTGATTTGCAAAGCCCTCCTATCATATGTCATCTGCCAGGACAGTGGCCTCTGATCTCCTGGAAGCCTGCCTTCAATCAGGTGGTGGAAGTCCACCAGGGCAGGAGAAATGGGCATTTGCTGATGGAAAATAGAAAGCTGCTGGTAGCCAGAGGTGGACTTCAGTGAAGACCAACCCTGGTATGTCCTTGGATGCCACCCTAGGACTAGCACTCACCATCCAGGAAACAAAGTATGTTCACCTTAGACACAAGACTCGCAGTAGCCCTGGAAGGCAGTTCTGCCTACTTGCACTTCACAGATGAGGAAATCAAGGGCAGAAGCCATCTAGAGAGAATGGAGATGCTCTCAGACCTCATATCCATTCTGCAATCTGTACTTATCTGGTACAGAGGCCACCTGCTGGCTTTGACTCATCAGGCTCTGACAGCCATTTGGTCCTCACCCCAAAACTCTTGGGGTTGCCATCAGACAATTCCAAAGCCATGGCAAGAAGGGGAGACAGGCTTAAGGAGGGAAAATGTAGAAGCGATCTAAGGTGGATAGAGGTGATAGGGTCCTATCTAGGAAGGGCCTGGTAGCTGGGAACGGGGAGGGTGGTATGGAGGTCTAGTATCTGTCCTAAGGTCTGTGGGAAGCCTGCCGTAGATAGTTTTAAGCAGGGATGCAATCCCATCAGAACAGATGAGAAGAGAGCCATGTCAACTACTGGTGGTTACCCAGGCAGTGGGGGTGGGTACAGCTATAAACTCACTAGAGGTCTTCAGGATCTGGAACCTTCTGCCCAGAGACTGCTGCACCATGGACACTCTACCCTTTTTGATAATTAACCCGTCTCCAGTCTAAGTTTACAGATTGTCTTTGCTCATCATGGGTCAGATGTCTGTCTTTGTAAGTCTTGGAAGGTCAAAGCAGCCTGCCCACAGCAACTCTGCTCTTTGCCCCTCTCTCCTCCCAGTGCACATAGACACTCTCCTTGTGGACACATGTGACTACATCCCCAGTGGGCTATGTCTTGGGACACTGGGTCATAGGTGCCTTTTATTCAGTGCAGAGCACAGACTTGCAGGCTGGCCCACTGTGTACTGGGAGAGTCTCGGTGAAGAATCAGGTAGACAGATTCAATTCCCAAAGGGTATTTGTTCTGACCTGGACAGAAGGTAGGACCATGAGCTACATTGCTGTGAGTGAGCAAGGGTCAGGAGAGCAGAGATGAGGCATAGTGTGTTAGTCACAAATGCATTCCAGGTATGGTAGCCCATGTCATTGACCCCAGGACTTGGCAGGCAAAGGAAGGTGGATTTCTGTAAATTTGAGGCTAGCCTGGTCCACAAGCAAGTTTCAGGACAGCCAGGGCTGCATAATAGAAGAGACCCAGGTTCAAACAAACAAACAAACAAACAAGCAAATAAAATGTATTTTCTTTGTTTCCAAGAACCTGTACTCAAATTCAGTCTGAAAATTCTAAATGGAAATAAACATTTCACATATTTTAATAACATTTATTACTGTGTATTATTAGTTATTCTATTTGGTAGCTAATCTCTTACTGTGACTGCTGTATAAATTAAACTTATCCTGGGCCTAAATGATTAGGAAAATCAAAGGGGTTTCTTTCTTTTTCTTTTTTTTTTTTTAGATTTTTCTCTCTAAGTTTTGTTACTGAGTTTCAACATCTAGTGCTTGGGAATACATATACTTCCTCTGCTGATGCTCTCCCCTCAGTCCCCCTTCATGCAAAGTCTCTCCACCCCTTAGTCACTCTGTAACTTTGGCATTGGACTTGACTCCCACAGGAACCTCCCTCCTAGCAAGCAGGGCCGTTGCATCTTCCCCAGGGTCTTGGTGTGAGAATGAGGAAGATATTTATATGATCCCTCTGAAAGGCAAGTCACAGTCTGAGTGTGGTGACCACTAGCCTGAGCATCGTTCCTCCTCTTAGGAGGCTTCTTGGCATCCATCTCAGGCAGAGCCACCCTCTGTCCCAGCCCCTCCTTCCACACTCCATGCAGCTAGCTCGGTTCCCCAGTATCTGGCAGTTCCTGGTTGCCCTGTTGTGGCTCCCATTCCGCAAGGACAACAGGACAACCGGAAGCCCTCACTCCTGCTGACACTATGGCTGCATGCCTCCTCCTGCGGCCCTCCCCTCCACTCTGTTATTTTCTACAGAAGAATCTCCCCTGTCCAGAGCAGCCTGCAGGCCCTGGGCTCCAGAGTATTCTGTAGAAGGGACTG